TACACATCAAACTCCTAACATTAACCGAATTAAAATAGGTAATATTCTGATTTTATTTTTCTTTAAATCTATAATAGGTTCATTAAATGTAGTTTTATTAAATAAAATGTTGCAAAACTTTTTATAGGTACTGGCAGAAGTGAGCTGGACAACAGAATTTCACGATTGGTCATACAGATGTACTCCCGCCGCTTTAACTGAGCAGTTCCGCTCCAATTATGAGGAAAAACACCCAGAGGAGCGGTTCGAAGTTCTCCCACCCTCTCTTTCCCTACCATCAACTTCTCGAGTGGACTTTTACCTCGCCGTCTATTTTGAGTACTCCCTTACAGCACAGACACTATACGCTTACATTCATGCGTTCCCCGGAATTCGAAATCGGACCTGTCGGTACGGCAGTCGTCGTCACCACTAAGCACTGAGCGGCATGTATTTCGCGCATTCTGGAAGTTTGTAAATCATTAGAGGATAATCTTAAAATATTGTTACAGTAAGTATATCAAGAGGAATACTGCGGCATTTATGTTTTGTGGATACGGACATATTAGTAGAACCTGTAATAATACATGGGCCTGTGTTAAGTGTGGGCAGACCCATCTATCGGGAAAATGTAGTAACGAAACAGAAACCTGAGTTAACTGCGAGAACACAAACGCCACCAGATGTATTGGCTACTTTAATCATGAAGGTAGTTCTGCAGAATGTCACATATACAAGAACATTCTGCATACTCCAGCAACTCGGAGCAGTTTTTAAAAACCTCACCACAGGGCCTTAGCACCGCAGTAATCCCTTCATGGGCTAGCTTTCATGCAGTGCAACCTACAGAGATCCCGAACAGCTACATTTAACATCTTGCAGATCATAGTACACATGAAAGCGGATTTATTAATGATTCAAGAACCCTTCATCATCTGGATTATTGGCACGCCGAATACAAGCAATTGCTTCTATCTGATAACTTCTTGTTTGATAAGGAACTCTCTCACCAGCGCTTCTCCAAAGAATTGAACATACAGTTACTACAGTGCTAGAAGCGTTCTTGCAAAAGCTGTCAGTCACTTCAGTCTACACCCACCGAGTTACAACTATGGAAATACTCATTAGAGAACTAGAAAACGGATTTCCCTTTACTTCAAAACCACGAGCTCGTTCTGGAAAGCCAAGATATATTATGGGCACTGATAATTTGGTTCAAATTAATACTACTAATTCGCCACCAACTTTATGGACTACACGTCCGAAATGATGGCAGCTTTCACACCGCCGTGACCCAGACAGTTCCATACATTCAGAAATGGAGTGTAGGTACTAAGTGACCATCGACTAATCACCTAAAAGTTTGCCATGCCAGTTAGCTATGTTGTCTAAAGGCATTGTAAAACAATCTATGGTGGATATTCTAAATTTTTAAATAGTCTTATTGGTAGCAGCAGGCATGTGTGTTACCATGACAATTCTAGTGCCATGCACCAGTATGAGATCTAGGTTGGTCATTCAACTGAGCATACATTTTGCAAACTTTTAGATCATCAACAATTCAGAAAACAGGCACACAGCAGTCATTGCCATAGACGTTAAAGAAACGTTTAACTTGATGTAGTGGCCTGATGGCACAAATTGTCTGGAATTTCTCAAATCTGCCGGGAATCTCAGTAATCTGAGGCTAGGATAAAGATACACTATTTAAGTATTTGGGCATCCACGCAAATGCCGATATCTGCGATATTTATATACGTCACGCCCTCCATCATTTAATATCGTGTAGGGAACAAAATTGGCATTAGTAGCATACAAGATATCACGACGTACAGAGTTATTTGATTTCGAGAAAGGTGTAATCATCGGGTATCACAAAATAGCCGATCATTAAGGGGCATATATAGTGAGCGGAATCACCCAAATTCAACAGTAGTCTGTGTGATTTAGAAATTTAAGGTGTGCGGTGATTATCGGAAAGTGTTTCAAGGGCAGGCCCGCGAAACTGGGAGACAGTTACAGACTGGTGTTGTCCCGAGAAATTCGAAAACACCGTACCCAAGCGATGGTCCACATACTCCAGGAGTTTTAACTGGCAATCGGGAGTGTTGTTTCGATTTATACCATCCATAAGAAATCATATCTGCTTGGTTTTCATAGTCATGCTGCTGCCCATAAAGCCTTTGATCAAACAGTTCAACCGTACTGCTCGGTTAATGTGTTGAAAAGAACGTCGACAGTGGATTATTGATCAGTGGAAACGAGTTTTCTGGAGCAATGAATCAAGATTTACTCTCTACCATTCTGATGCAGGGTCTGGATTTGGCGTCTACCCGAAAAACGTCTCCTACCAGAATGCATTGTGCCCAAAGTAAAGTTCGGTAGAGGTGGAATTATTATCTGCGGGTGTTTCTTCTGGTATGGACTGAACCCTTGGTCCAAGTTCATGGTAAACTGAGCATCGACGTCTACTGCACTATTTTGGATGAGAGTGTACTTCCTACATTGTGGCAGTTTTACGGGTTGGACCCAGGTTACTTTCAGGACGACATCGCTTGCTGTCATATAGTGATGTCCACCATAGATTGGTATGATGACAATAGGGTTAACCGAACACACTGGCCTGCCCAAAGCTCAGACCTGAACGTTATCGAGAACCTCTACGATGAGTTGAATCTCCAAATGAAAGGGTGCATCAATCATTGATTATCCCTGAAGGAATTGACATGTCTTCTCCAAGCCAAGTAGAAAAAATTTCCAATAGCCATCATACAAGGACTTGTGGAAAGCTTGCTCCGGAGGGTTGAGGCTGTAATTGCCGTTCATGTAGGCTCTACCAACTATTGAATTTGAATAAATTTTGTTTTTCTTTTCTATTACATGTGTGTAAATTCTTATTGGTAGATAGTGTATTAGCGGAACGCGCAAATATCTGGAATAATACTATTGCAGCCCACATGAGAAGATCACCACTCACATTACAGAGACAACAGCTTGCTATGGTAGGCAAGGCATAACGTACGACATCGACAGCAGCCCTGCAAATTATAGCAAGTTGCCTCCACTAAATTTATTAGGCGAAAGGGAGAAACATTTACTATAGCCACTAAATCTATTAGCGGCTATAGTAAATGTTCTCCGCTTGCGAAGAAACATGAGTATTTGGCGGCAAATCTATATATTCATGCAGACTATGAGCAGCATAAATCTCATCTCACCTGCATTCCATCGGAAAACAATCTTGTCATTCACCTTAACAAGATACTGTAAATCATTGGGCTAGAAGCTGTATAACGAATGGCTCCAAAACACCAGAAGGCGGAGGTTTGTGTTGTTGTAGAGGGTGACGTAATATACATTGTATGGAAATAGAAATTTGGTTTCGAAAACTGAATTAACTGTCATTAGAACTGCAGTTTTTTACATGAGAAAACATCCTAATATTTGCATCGATTCAGCTTCGAACCTAGCAGCAATAGCTAGGGGCTGTTCCAGGAACCCAGTAGTACAGAGCATTCGAGGCATCTTGTTATACGAATGTCAATCTCACAAAGGCCCATTTTTAGTTGAATTTCTGCCAAGACAGGTATTTTCAGGCAATGAATTAGTGAACACTGCTGCCAAAGAGGCAGCGAACTCCACTAAGGAAAGTTCTAACATTAAAGCCGATCGCATTCCTGAAGGGGCAAATTCTTTAAAAACTAGTCTCTAAATGGCAAGAGCAATGGGACCAGGCCGCGACAGGACATTGGATCCGTAAATTTCTTTCTGAAGCGTCACTGGAACATCATTCAATAAGCAGCTATCTGTCATATTTTATCAAGTGACATGAGCCTTTTCCTGATTATCTAAGACTCTTTGACCTCAATAAGGAAAGCAGCTGCAAATATGAGGAAGGGTGATTAGACCTCTTTGTGTTCTCCTGACCGCATTTAGTAAACATCAGTCTGAAATATGGGCGTTTTCGTGGTTTTCCCCATGTGTAACGTGTATACGAGCCAGTTTTCCTTAGAAAGTCCTCCACGAAGGCATCCCTCCCTTTAGGCAGATAGCCCTCGTGGGCTTTGCCCTAATTGAATAATCCAATCCAATCCAATCCAGTCTGAAATAGCCAAGCATTCGCTTCTGGCCACAATGATTTCAGAACCTGAAACATAACAGGGTTGCTTGGGAGAATCTAAAGCTATCATAGATGATTGTGGCCAGAAAATATGTCTAGTCTCCTAAAATACTCGTTTTTACATTCATAATTTGTATTATTTGTGATTAGTGGTAGCAGTATCCACGTATGTATTCATCTTGAATATTATATGAGCTTATTTTGTATTTGTGTTCCACGGTAACCTACGTCTAATGTGGGAAAATACTCGAAGTTGAATTCCTATTTTTTTTTCATTTGTACTTGCAATCGGTATTAGCAGTGTTCGTGTATTTATGTATCTTGAATATTATGTATGCAAACTTAGTATTTATATTACATAGCAACCTATGCATATTCTGCGTAATATGCGTATCCGGCATTTATATTTAAAATTCGCGTATTTCATTGAGTCAATTACGTCCTATTTAAGTTTGAATCTGTGTATACGATTTAATCTGTGTTTACCTGAGTTATGTCTCCTGGGTAAGGAATACACCTGGTCGGCAACCAACTCAGCGGTTTACATCATTAACCCCTATACCGGCAGGGCATAAACCACTTTAAACCACAGAAGTGGGTTAACTTTTCTTGAAATATCGTCTTGGTCCTAAACCTATTCGCGAAGTTCTTTGATAAACAACCGTTGATCAGCAAAAAACAGTTCTATAAATTAGTTTTAAGTTATTGAAGAACTGCCATGCATATGGCAACACCCAAAACGTACGTAGCAGCTCTCCTTCGGGGAATGAGTATTAGTTCCTATTCATGTTTTGACTTGCAATAACTCAAAATTATGTTACGAATAATACTGATATGAAATAATTTGTTTTTACTGTACATGAACACTTGAAATAACTAAAAACAATTATTGAATACTTACAAAAACAATTTATTCAGGATTTGGCAAAGGAAAAATATAAGTTTTCCTGAAAAGAGAAAAAAAATAATGATAGTGATAAAAAATATGAATTGAAAACATTTGCCTTCAGTCTGTCTCATATCTTTTTAAAAGAAGTATTGGGTGTTATAAAATATTTTAAATGATATCGGATAATTATTAATATATAATAACCAAATGGTTTTGGTTATTTGAAATACTTCCATAATTATAAGCTCATTACAGCAAGTGCCGGTTGCAGCACGTTCGTTACAGTTATGTAATTGTAAGCTCATAACAGCAAGTACCGGTATTTTATTTTGAAAAATAGTTTGTCGTCCTACAAATTTCAAATGCAGTATGTTTCAATGAATGACATAATTAAAGCTTTTTTTTTTGAGAAATATTTCACAAATTAATATTGAATTGAAAATATTAATCCCGAATTTCAAACCGTACAATTCAAAACCGTACAAGTTACATTCAGCTAAAATGGCAAGCATTATAATACGAACACGAAGAACTCACCTTTTTACTTAAAAATGTTCTCAAATTTATAGCATAAGTGCATTAACACGAAACTATGGGGCTTTTAAATGATGCCTTATTCAAGAAACTCACAGTTTATACATAAGCCATTCGAAATTTGTTTAAAATGTTAACTATAGTCGCAGTGAAGAAAAGGTATACTATAATAACATAAATTCAATAAAGAAAAGTAATGCAGTACTAGTCGCGAAAATTCAATGAAGAAAACAAATGCAGAAAAACGACTGAAATTTAATGTTAGTTATAGAAATGCAAATGTAACGTCACTGACCGTGATAAATATTGTTTTTCTAATGACTGATTTTCAAGCCAAACTAATTAATCAGTTTATCGAAATTTTTCGCACAAATGTATAGCTCAAAATAATAACTATATGTTATGTTAACTCAAATCCAAGATATAATGTTAACTCAAAATCCAAGGAGAAAATACCTATATGCAAAGTTTATCAGATTTTACTTCTGAATTTTCTCTAGTCATTCAATTTTTGACGTTTTCTGAATGTTTACATGCATGAGGTTAATAGTAAGTTATCATAATAAATAATAAGTCTAATATTTGAAGGAACAGTAAATAGTGCAGATTAGTAAGAAAGTACTATTTTAATATATTCAGGTTTAGGTATTTATTATTCAGTGGCTAACTATACTAATTAACTCCTTTTGTTATTACATAGTTTTCGAAAAATTCGTCGCATGGTAAGTTTTTTATACTACTATACAAGTGTTTTACAGTTTTATAAATGTTATGAATGTTAAGGACTTGAATTTTAAATCTGAGATTAAACACATGAGTATGACATCTAAATTTTAATAAAAATAATTTTAATTAATTTTCTTAAAGAATGTTTCAAGTCTATACTCTGTTCATACTTTAACAGGAGTTTATTAGGTAATTTTTTTATCGTAAGTAACAATGAAAATATAGTTTTATTATTTTTTATTTTTCTAAAGTATTTTTCATTTTTTTTAACCATTTTAACTCTTAAATTTTCCATTCCACACATACTTCTCAGTCCACTTACATTACTTGCCTCTTTGAATATGCAAATTAAAAGTTGAAGGAAAGAAGTGAGGAAAGAGTGGTTATATGACTGGTTGATTGTCCATTTGATTAGATTAAATGCAACTTTAATATTTAAATCATCTTTCTTTGCTGCATGACCGAAATTGATCTGATATGTATGTGTAACAACACAGCATGTGTGTTCCTAGAGAACTTCCTGTTCTCTTGGAAACGAACCTTAGTGCCCACCTCGAGGACCAGTGAAAGTGTTAAAAGAATTAAGAAAAGTCTTATTAAGGACATACCCCTTTCGTTGGTTTTCATTGACTCACTTTGTAGGTGTAAGAAAGGAGCTTTTGTCTGAGAAATGCTGAGAGAGTAAGAGGCATCGAGCGTCGGTAAAGCTGTTGTCCTTCGCCCTTTGTAATAATGCTGTAATGTTACTTGTTAATTAACTAAGAAAACTTATGTTAAGCTTTTAAATAAATCTAAAACAGGACAACTTGTCTTAATTTTTCCATTTCGAAAGCTCCGCGACGTTACAGCTTAAATTTATTGATGGCAGCGGTGGGATCTGAAATACACGGAAAGAGACTGTGGGAATCAGTCCTGGTAAAGAAGAGGACGTTAAGCTCCGAAGTACTGCTTAACTTTATTGGTGGCAATGCTACGATGTGAAATCGACAGAACGAAAAACACTTGTATTTTACTCTAAAAAGACCGCGGGCGTCGTAAGTAAAGAGGAAGATCGTCAGGCTCCGAAATCCAGCTAAGTATAGCTAATCTCAAGTTTGCGGAATCAGGATCTTAAGTTTTGCATCACCGGTAGTGTCAGTAAAGGTTTTGGTGAAGAGAAGTGGACCGTCAAGCTTCGAATTTCAGCTCATCTGAATTTGTGCGGCAGTCAATGTCCGAAAAATCTTCAGCCTCGTGTTTAAATGTGGGTCCTGCAGGTCCGAAAAGTATATGTGTGTTGTGAGAATTGCTTAAAGTGTCAGAACCACCAGCGTCCATAAAAATTTTAAGTTGTGTTATAAATCTACAGGTTCCAAGCTTTAACCGAGGCAGCAAGCCTACAAATTCAGGCGGGTAAGTAACTTGAATTTTTTTATATTGAGGCAGTGAAGTAATTTAAGTTACTTTTATAATTTAATTTATACAAGTTCGCGTAAATGTTTTTTAGTCAAAATTGTCTCCTGTAAAGCTCAAATGTGTTGCTTTGGTGTTTTGTTTGAAATAATAAAGCATACATTTTAGGAATTTGAATCGGAGTTAATAGCTCTGCTGAAATGAAGCTTATATAATTGAATGTGTAAGATAGAAAGAATTATTATAATTCTGAAGGTTCTAAATTTTAGCTGGTATTTTGATACATCGTTTCTAAGTCGTCTTGAATGTTTCAAATATTAGAATTTTTCATTAAAGAGTATAAAACATTAGCTTGTGTAAGAATAATAATTGAAAATTTTTCAGTTGAACACGTTAAAGGAAAAGTTTAGAAAAACCTAGTATTTTATGTTTAAACTGTTGTTATATCGATATTTAGTTAAGAACATTTATATACCTATATTTTTGATTTACCTTTGAATGCATACTTTAATATACCTAGAACATTTTGATGATATGAATGTAAACTATATTGTATGACAATAAATCCTCAAGTTGACCAGTAATAACTGATTGCATCATGTGCTTATAATAGTGTATATTGTCTTTGATTTGTGTTTTAGATCATTTGAATTTGTTGTGAAAGAATTAAGGGTTAAATTTTGCTCTTCGTTGTTGTCATTGCTATTTGTTATATATACATACATATATATGTTACATATACATGTTTTATATATATATACATGTTATATGTATGTTTGATATCTATATGTATATATAATTTATTTACTAAAGAACTATTGATTATATTATCTATCTCCTAATATAAATTTAGCAGAAGTATCAAAAAAAGAGGGAACCTATATGTAGGAAGTTTAATTCCAAAAAATTGTGTTTTAAAACTAACTTGAATGTAAATTATGAAAAAAAAAAAAGTTTTACGGGCACTTGAATTTAAATCATGAATAACAAAATTTCAAACTTTGAAAAAGAAATTAAAAATTAAAGATTAAAAATGAATAACAAAATTTAAAATTTTGAAAAAGAAATTAAAAATTAAAAACAAGTAATTATCGCTATTGATCGGAAATTAGTTGACTTTTCAAGGGGAACAAAATAACTCCCGTTCAATGAACAATAATTAATAAATGCGAAGGTGTTTCGTCTTTTACTCAAGTAGGAGTGATGATGACAAACTGGCAAATTAAGTTAGGCCAAAATTATAGTTCCATGAAGTGATGGGATTTATAACCAAGGTAGAGTACCAAAGAATTCATTTTGAAAGAAGCATTTTCGCTAATACTAGATCTATATATAGATATATATAAAGAGAGAGAGGGAGTCATTAGATTTTGATCATAAGTTGTGGTTATATCATGGTATTCTCAGCTAAAGTTTGAAAATAGGATCTTAAAATCTTAGCTGAGGAATTACGAGAAAATGCCGGATCTAAGCTTACGATAATGGATCTAAGACTTTGTTAGTCACAATCTAACAAAGTCTTAGATCCATTATCGTTATTATGTTAAGACTTTGTTAGATTGTGACTAACAAAGTCTACGAAGAAGAACCTTGCCAAAAATCTCTTGGAAAATATCATTTCAGTGAGGCCTGAGAGGGAAAATGAGGAACAGGATAGAATTAAAAGTGAAAAGAAAGAGAGACAAGATAGAGAGAAAGAGATTAGAGGCAGGATGGAATTAGAATAGAAGAAGAAGAGAGGCAAGGTAGAATTAGGAGAGGAGGAAGAGAGTTTGAAGTAGCTAAACTGAAATACCAGACTGCAGTCGTTAAGAAAAAATTGGACACAGGACGCTATTTACTCGAGAACCGGACCAAAAATCGATGCACCGGCGTCCATATCAACCTCGAAACTGTCAATACCAAAATTGAAAACGCGCAAAAATACAATGAAAGGAATGAGGACGACAGGTTTATGACCACAGAGTAAATTTCGCCCCCGTTAATAAAGCAATTACACTGTAGAGACATTAGGTATTTTGGAAGCAGAAAAGATGAAAAATATGCAATGCCTTCACCGGGAATCGAACCACGGACCTCTGGAATACGCGCCCAGCGTGCAGACTACCACACCGCGAAAGCATGCCAAGAAGGTGAGAGAAATACCTTATATACTCTCCCTTTTAAAGGGCGACTGGGGTTTCTAGGGGACCCAATCGCCAAATCCTTGGTGTGGAGAGTCATCATCCACCACCCGTTTAGTTCCGTCGCCACTGTAGAGACATTAGGTATTTTGGAGATACTGGACTTACCAGATACTGGAGTTACCAGAGAAACTGGACTTACCAGAGAAACTGGACTTACCAGAGAGAGGACAACAGCTCACTCTGGGAGAGAACAACACAGCAGGTGTTTGTCCTTAGAGAA